GGTCTGAGTCTCTGCTGGGCAAACAGCCGGCTGCCAGGATCAGTACAGAGCTGTCATATCTTGATTTTTAGCTATGCCTGTGTGAAAACAAAGACCTCCAATACAGCACTTAAAAGATTCTGGTACCCCACAGGGATTTGCTAGACTCTTTTTGGCAGTTAACCTCTGGTGGTGAGTCCCTTTCCTTTGAGAGGTTTTAAGCAATTTCTGACTTTTACCAGACACTAAATTGACAGCACTGACATACAACTGGACAAAGTTGTCCTTTAAAGTTATTTTGGTGCACTCGTAACTTCAGGGGATGAGGGAGAAAATGAGAAAACACTTCTGCTGAAATATTCCCTTTTCTGGTGCAGGTATGTTCATGGGGTCGTCTTCTATGCCATTTACCACACAACCATCAACTCATTTTCAAGGCTTTCCAGCCATGGGAGTTCCTGTGCCTGCAGCAACTGGGATGATGGGAAACATGATAGGACAATCGGTGCCAGTCATGGGACAGAGCACAGGTGTGATGGTGGGAATCGGAATGCCCAATGGATTTACTGGTACTACACAAACTGGTGTGATGGGACTTCCTCAAAATGTCGTTGGACCTCAAGGCGGAATGGTGGGACAGATGGTCACACCACAAAATAAGTATGGATTGCAACAAAACCAACAAGCCCAATGGAACCTCTCTCAGGTAAAGACTTGCTATTCCCAGCGCTTTAGAAAAGATGCTGCTTTTCAGGTGCAAACTGTTTGGCTGTAGGAGGAAAGTTGCAGTGTAGCAGAGTTACAGACTGCTGGACTGTGAACTGCTCTGAGGCACATGGGGAAAAAAATCAGGGAATAACTCAATTAAAGAGAACTGATATATAAGCAAAGCGTAAATTTTGCCAAGGTAGACCAAACCCAATTCTCTGCTTCTGTAGCTACTGTCATCCTGGCATCTGAACTAGCCTGGTGAAAAGCTAGCTTAGCTGTAGTTCCAAATACTGAAATGTAAACACAGCCTTATAACTAAAAGCAGAATTTAATTACTTTAGAATAGCCATTAACAATTAACACTTTCATTTACAGACTTCAGGATAAATTCCAGTGGAATGTGCAGTGCTTTGCACTCTAAACATTCTCCTGTAGACAATTTGCTTAGGCTAATCTGTTACTTATCTGTAGCATTTGCATGCGGGTCCAGAGGAGGCCACAGAAATGGTCAGAGGGATGGAACACCTCTCCTCTGAGGACAGGCTGAAAGAGTTGGGGTTGTTCAGCCTGGAGAACAGAAGGCTCCAGGGAGACCTTCTTGCAGCCTTCCGGTACTTCAGGGGGGCTTAGAAGAAAGATGGGGACAGACTTTTTAGCAGGGCTTGTTGCAATAGGACAAGGGGTAATGGTTTTAAACTAGAAGAGGGCAGATTTGGACTAGATAGATGGAGAACTTTTTTTTACAATGAGGGTAGTGAAACACCAGCACAGGTTGCCCAGAGAGGTGGTAGATGCCCCATCCCTGGAAACATTCAAGGTCAGGCTGGACGGGCCTCTGAGCAACCTGATCTAGTTGAAGATGTCCCTGCTCACTGCAGGGGGGTTGGACTAGATGACCTTTAAAGGCCCCTTCCAACCCAAACTGTTCTGTAATTCTATGATTCTGTGTTTTAAAGGTTCTCTGAAAGTGTCAGTGTACACTTAGTGCTGGATTTGTACATTATCCACTGAACCATCTTGAAATCAGGCATTTAAGAGGTTACTGGGGGGGCGGACACAAACCTTAATGATTCCCCCGGAGTTCAGTGTGGATGATAGCAACTGTTTTTTTCAGAATACCGTTTGTATTCTAAGAACAATGTAATAATTCCATGCTGCTTGCTGTAGTAATTCAGGAAGTGAACCTTAGTGACTTATAGAGCTTGGATTATATTAATTTTCACTGTTCTGCTCGGTCCTGTGGTATGAATGTTTATGGAGGTAAGCAGCATTGCTTACAGGGATAAAGCAGCCCCAATTAGAAAACACAGGCTGTCATTTGTCTTTGAAAAGTCATTTTTAAAAGCTGAGCATTTCAAAATGTCAAACCAAAAAAATTTGTGGATTTACTGCTAACAGTCTTTTTCTAGGTTTCTAACTTTAAAAAGACCCATATCAGCTCTGAAATTAAAATCATGCTTCTTATCAAATATATATTAAAAGTTGGCTCATAGAACAAGCTTGTAACATGTTTCTGACCTCCTTGCACGTCAGGTGTTACCAAGATGCTGACGTTGCACAGCTTGTAGGGGAACTCTCATCTAATCCCTGGCTCCTGTTGAAAGGGGGAGAGCTTGCTTTACTTACCAGAATAGCAGCATGCTTTATATACGTAGTCTGCTGCTTAAGAACTCTACTCCAGAAGAGATGAACAGCTAGGTACAGCATGTTTTCATCAGCTTTTTCTTAAATTTCCATGTTCAGTGATGGGTGGTTTTTGTGGATGCACACTTGAAAGCACTGAACTTTACCCTGAAATATTAGTTTGCAATTCCCTTAATTTTTTTCACCAGTGTTTCAGTTTAATTTTGCAACCCGGTATTGTTCGCTCATGTTTATGTGAACTCTGATTGTCACCGAACGCTTGCTCTCCCTTGAATCTGATGTTGCTTATCCAACATCCCTGGTCATCAGCTCCGACTACTAATTGCTCCAAATGCTCTCTTGGTCTTATGCTCGTGAGAGGGGACATCTTTACTCTGCCTGTACAGCTAGGCCTTTGGCTTGTCAGGGAGTGTCCATTTTTCAGAAGGCAGAGGGAGGGTAACCTGAAGAACGCTTTTGTGTTGATCACTGAAAATTAGAGCGACTAGATAGTATTTGTAGAGAGTAGAAATATTTTGCACAATCTCTGAAGTGAATGTGCTGAATTTTGAACTCTCTCCCACCTGTAACTAGATGTCACTTGTTTTTAAGAAATTAAGGTATCTGGAGTAGATTCTTTAGTGAGAATGCTTAGATTGAGATAATACTCAAGTTTAGAAATCCGCCTCATTCTTTGTTGATTGCCACCTAAATGGGCAATTTCTATAAAAACTTGTGCATTCAAGATTTTGAGGTCTCTGAAGAAATCTTACTGGCACAAAAATAATCTGGAGTTGCAAATATAGACAAGGCTACATTACTTGCTTTGGTGTTTCTTTATCACAGTTGCCACAATTTTGTTTGTTAGCTTTGAAGCAAGCAAGCTCTTATCAACATTGGACTCCTTTGCCACACATGCTCCGTAAATTCACTAGCAGAGCGTTTATACAGACTCGTCATATACACCAAGTGCTAGAGCCAGTTGGCTGGTGTATGACGGCGATGGCTTGCGCAGAAACTGGTTCCGGAAAAGCTGCAATCTTGAAAAAGGCTGAGAAGCTTGTAATGAGTCAGTAACTTTAATGAGAAATACTGATTTTAGGGAAACATACTTTTACTGGGTTGCTAGTTCAGGAAGCATGGCTGCTTTTTGGCTAGTCGTGTGTTGTGCCTCAGTAGCAGTGCTAACTCGGCCTGTGTATGTGCTTCACAGATGAATCAGCAAATGGCTGGAATGAACCTCAGCAGTTCCAGCAACGCGATAGGCTTTGGCCAGCCCCCCAGCACAGCGGCAGGATGGACTGGAAGCTCCTCTGGTCAGACTCTCAGCACACAACTGTGGAAATGAAAGTTGCAATCAAAGTCTCACCCAGAACAGCCACCTAACATTCCTTGTTCAAACGCATTTACTTTCACTCTTCCTTCCATGTACATACTCTTTTTTCTTTTTCCCCAGCTGTTCAGATTAAGAATATAACTGACTGACCGTGTTGTGGTCCATATTGATTTAAATTTGATGTAGTGAAAAGCAGATCAAAAATACATTTATACATCATTGGCAGCGTTTTCATACAATGCATATGATTTCGTAGACCATATAAGAAGCTGCTTAACCACGTACTGATTTTTTTCCCTCAAAATTCTAGATCAAATGTTTGCATATAAGGGACGTAGCTATCATGTTAGTAATATCCAAAAATATGAACCCTGACCCCAAAAATTACCCAGTAATCCTGTAGAAGGTACCGTATGAACAAATGTTTAATCATATATAAATAGAATGTAAATGTATCACTAAGCAATGTTTTCTAGTGTATCAAACAAATTTTGTTTCATCATACATTTCACTGTGATGTTATTATGGTGTGCATAACAGGGATGTGGTTACTGAAAGAAAGATAAACCTGGATGTTGCTGTAGTTCTACAAATCGATAGTTTATTCTTTTAAAAATGAGCATTTGATCCATTTGAGTTTCCTGTGATAAAGTAACCAGCCTGGCTTACGAGGCACGTGCACAGTATTAATGCTGAGAACTAGCGGCACAATATGTATACAGGGTAACTCGACGTGAACAGATATATTTTTCCTCGCAGGGATATCCAGGTTTATGACAATGATTGTGTTTACATTTTATGGTGCCTCGTAATGATAAAATGTTATTTCCCTATATTAAAAGGATAAATCCATAAATGATTGTGGGGTTTTATTTCATTATTGTATGACCTATTTGACTGCTATTTCTTCAGGAAGTCTATTTTTAGGGAAGGAAAAACATGTCCAATTTGGAGGGTCTATTTATGCAAGTATTTAGCTCAACAGCTCATGATTTCAAATCTGTTTATAATTACAACATTAAGCTGGATAAATACAAAAAGTATATACATAAATGATGATTTTGAAAATACTCCATTGCAGCCATGTTTCTCTTAATTGTTTTTACTATGTGGAAACAGCCTTAAAACAAAGGTGTCTGTTTAATAAGACGACAGGTCAGAAATGCATGCAAACAAGTTAGAACAGAGCACACCCACTTGATTTGCTTATTAATAGAGAGTCTGACAACTTGCTTTTGTTTCCACAGAAGTCCATCAGATGACTAGTAAAAGGCCTCACGCAGAAGCAGACTATTTTAACTGTTCTGACACATCCATTGTACCGTGCTTCCTGTGTAACTGTGTCTCCACATCACACCTCAATATTGACTGTGTCCAGATGGTATTTTGGCTCATTAGCTAGATTTACTTTTTCTGTTCGTGTGTGCCATACGAGAACCTATAAAATAACGTTTGTATGAGTTAGTACAGTCATCTACAGAGATGACAGAAAAGCTTTTTAGTGAGTGTGGAAGCTGGTACCTTTGTGCAGTTGTTTGCTTTTGGTTCCAGTTCCTCCACTGTTGTTATCTGTTTCAGAAAATCAGATTCTTGCATTCCTGGTTGAGAACCACGACGCTTGAATACGGCTTTCGGATGCGACAGAATCACTTGAAGACTCACTGCAAACCCTTGGAGAGAGGGAGGGGGAAACATTAAGATAAAACCTTTAGGCTTTACATTTTTGTGCAGGTTACGCTTAAACCTAGAAATCTCCCATGTTCTTTTAAAAAATGTGTAAATTTGATTATATGGATAGGCAATATTGCCTACATTGTTTTGTTTTGCCTTGGAGGTGCAAGCACTTTTTTTAATTGCACCATAATTTCAACTTGTTTAACCAATTTCCCATCATGCAGAGAATACATGCTTTTTTGCCTGAAAAGTCAGGTATTGCTAAGATCTTGGACTATCCTTCCTTTCTCCTTCTAATTAAGAAATAAAACTGAATTTTAAGTAAAATAAAATGTATGAAATTTATACTGCACAAGCACTTGTAGGTTTAAAGGTGAGAGTCTAAAATGTGTTACTTAGAGGTAACAACTGTGGTCTTTTTTAACATTATTGTTGATGAAAGACAAGTCATATTAATGTTTTGCCTTGTACACTGTGTAGTTATTGTGGACTTGCGAATCGTTTTCATCAGCGGTGGTCTGTGAGGCAGGCTGTAGCTGATCTGATCATTGCACAGCACAACTGAAAGGACTTCTTCATCAGTGCACGTGCCTCTGCAATGCGTTCCTCTCGTAGCATACATTAGGTCCCTCAAAGGGAGATGACAAACTCGGAAATCACTGGTTTGAACAAACTCGACCTCTCTGAAGCAGCTCTTGGCACTCTCCAGCTTGCCCTTATTTATAGAACTCTCCAGTTTTCATTCAGCAAGGTTCAATCGCATGTATGCTGCTTCAAGTATGACTCAAAACTCAACTGATATACTTGTAAAGAAAAATTACATTTGTAACTTTTTTATGTCTAATTGCCAAGCCTGCCACAGAAACCCTTTTTTCGTCAGTTCAGAGTCATTCCAGCTGTCCCTTCTATAACAGCAGTAGTAACCGTTTTGACATCTGTTCTGGAAAATGGCAAGAACAATTAATTCTAAAGCCAGTATTAAAATTTCTGCATTTAAAAATTAGTATAACTTTCTCGGAGTATAAATCTGTCCGTTTTTTTCAGAGTCACAGAATAGTTCGGGTTGGAAGGGACCTTTCAAGGTCATCCAGTCCAACCCCCTTACAATGAGCAGGGACATCTTCAACTAGATCAGGTTGCTCAGAGGCCCGTCCAGCCTGACCTTGAATGTTTCCAGGGATGGGGCATCTACCACCTCTTCGGGCAATCTGTGCCAGTGTTTCACCACCCTCCTTGTGAAAAATTTCTTCCTTCTATCTAGTCCAAATCTACCCTCTCTTAGTTCAAAACCATTACCCCTTGTTCTATCGCAACAGGCCCTGCTAAAAAGTCTGTCCCCATCTTTCTTCTAAGCCCCCTTGAAGTACTGGAAGGCTGCAAGAAGGTCTCCCTGGAGCCTTCTCTTCTCCAGGCTGAACAACCCCAACTCTCTCAGCCTGTCCTCAGAGGGGAGGTGTTCTATCTCTCTGATCATTTTGATGTCCTTCCCGTGGATCATCTCCCCATAGGTTTTGGATTAGAATTTTTTACTAGAATTACCTCAATACTGTATTTTCCTTGAAGGTATCTGTCACTTTAATGGGAGCCTTTTAAAGAGGAAAATATAAGGAAGTAATTACTACATCACATGTAATGGCAGCACACAGAGACCACTTTTATCTTACCTATTGTGCTCTTGCTTATGGCAAAGCACAGGAAGATGCCAGAAAGTGTTTTTTATTTTTTTAAAACAACAATTTGGATGCTGCACAGGAAGACTATGGGTTGGATGTAAATGAAGGTTCCCCATTCACTGACAGACACAGGTAGAGATAACATGTTTAACTTAACTTTATACATTATATCCTGCCTAAGACAAAGAAGAACAGGTATCTAGATGGAAGGGGCTTATCCACACCTTGCAGAGTCCTCTAGTGAATAAATGACTTCCAGGAGGTATGAGACGTTGGCTGTAGCCTGCCCTCACTCCATGCAGTTAAGCACTGCAGCTCCAGCTCTGCGACCTGCACCACGCTCTAGCAGCAATGCTGGGACCCAGCTGTTCTTGGCTGCGGGTGCTGGGTTTAGGTGAGCGCTACCAGGCAAAGAAACCACGTTTGGACTTTTATTCCCAAGCAGGGGTTTATCTTCAGCAGGCCACGGGCCCTTCTTGTTTCCTACGTCTTGTAGCCTGGCTGGGAGGGAGCGCAAGGTGGGCTCCATCCTGGTGCTGCATGTAGCCAAGCATAAGCATTTCTGAAGAGCCAAGGTTGAGCATTTAAACTCCCTCAGCAAGAGACAGCTGCGGTGCATACAGCCAGCTTTCTGCACCTTGAAAGGTCACCGCAGACTTACCACTGATAAACAAATTGGCCTGGTTCAGTATTTTTGGTTAGGTTTGGCTGGGGTTTTTTCTGAATTAGAACAAACTAAATTTTTGATGCAACTTGGCTTTAGCATGCTCTTGGGCACAAAAAAAAAAAAAAAAAAGGTGCACTTTGGGAGGGAAGGCATTGTTGGAGCCCTCATCTGCTGTGTGAGCTGCTGTTTCTTTTAAAAATATTTAAAATTTAATTTTTAAGATTTAAACTGGTCATCCATGGAGAAGAAAATGAAGTAAGCACCAAAATTAGCACAGTGTTCTAGTTTTCAAAGGGGAGAAGGAATCCCATTCTAAGCAGAAGAGACATGGTTTCTACTGCATGTCTTTGTGTGTCTCAGCTTGGCTCCCTGGCTCCCACAGCCCATACTTACCCACACGTTGATTTCTCTAGGTTCTCTTTTTGCAAAGCTTGCTCCTCTGCTGGGAAAATGCGATTGAGTTCTGAGGATGGCTTTCTCCTACGCACAGGGTTTCAGATGTGCCATGCCTCCTGCATGTAACATGGGCCCTTGCTACCAGGCTATTGCAAACCATCATTTTAGGGTGCTATCAAAAATCCCTTGTGTTTTCAGGCATCAAATAAAAATAAAATTATTAAACCAAGTGTTGCAAGTGGCAAGGACACAGACTACTGTGCACTGACTGGCATGTGGCCTGAGGCTTGTTTCCTTGACCAGTGGTCATGCAGTCTTTGTTTCTTAAAAGCATCCAGTAAAGCAGCAACTTGAAGAGAGAAAATAATTTGAGGAGACTTATCTCCTGGCTCTCTAGTTCTTCAGCTCTGCTTCATAACTGCTTTGATTTCACATGTATGACATTTTGTATTTACGTAGATAGACTTCGGATGGACTTGAGGGAAAACCATTTTCTAGTGACAAATTCCAGTTGACTTTTTGTCACAGACAGATCATTTTGGCATCAAAAAGAGAGGAGATGGCTCAAGTTTTGATATACTGGCACTAGTTATTTCTCTCGGTAGATAATGATCCTGTGGTAATGGATGAAAAGACACTGCTATTTTGAATTCTATCCCCAAACAGGGATTAATCTGGGATTACTGTCTCCAGCATAACATAACTAACAGTGCTACGGGCATACAATTCTTTTACTTGATCATTATTCCTACAAGGTCACATTGGGCTCAAGATCACATGAAATACCACGTTACCGTTTCATAGCCAGAGTGTGAAGAGGTGTTCTGGTTTTTTTGTGTCTTTAAGGCACGGCTGTAAATTGGCTGAAGAGCCACCGAGATAACAATTAATTTGTTGCAGGACAAGATACCTGGGAGACATGGCAAAGATTACATCTGTGCTTCTTTCCATGGAAGTTGTTTCTCTTAATTCCCACCTTGACTTGTGTTAGATCAACAGCTTCCGTTAAAAGGCAGAACCATTTTTCTTCATCCAGTCAGAGTGAGCTAGTTTTAAAATATTTTGTTGCCCTGATTAATGCCTTTGCTTCCTGAATGCTCTAGATAGGGTAGTAGCTGAAGGCAAGCTATAAACTGAGAGTGTTTATCATTTCCAGGGCGTATAAATGCTAATGCTCAGTGCTGATGTTGAAACGGATATAGTGGTTTCCATGCAGTTCAAGGTACTTCCCTGGGCTTGTTGAACATGCCACGGTTTGGGGTCTGCTGCTTACAAGTATCTATGCAACCCATACTCTTTGGGTTGCAATAAGGCACAGGTGCTCAACCAGGAGTTTTTGTAGTTCAGAACAAAGGCATCTGCTAACAGTTAATTTGCCATGAAAGAGGCTCTCTATTTTAACTCATCAACATTTAAAATAGTTGTTACCCTTTGATGGGAGGGGTGGTTTGGGTTTTTTTTGTCTGGTGTCTGCCATAGCCGCTCACTTAAAATCTTTTGTACTTCTGAATTCCAGCAGTGGCTCTTTCGGATTGAGACAAAATATGTCACGTTTTGCAGCGTCATTAAGAGACTAAGCTTTTTTCTCAGGGAACCGTAAGAAAGATAAGATGTACTAAACACCTCATACTATGGCAAAATTGGGGAGGGGGGTGGGCGGGAAGTTTGCTCAGGCCCTAGCAGAGAGACTGGCAGTGGATGAGCTGTGCCGCAAGTCTAAAATCTGCTTGCCCAGTGACTCACAGGCATAGACTAATCGCTATGACTGAAGGAAACAGCTCCTGGAATGCTAACGTAAAGCATGCATCTGTTTTCCTTGAGCAATCTTGACAGTAGGAAAATCACAATCTAATCTGACTTGTTCTCATGGGTGGTCAAAACCTCTGGCACTGGGAACAAGCCAAAAGTAAATCAGTAACAGCATCACTTAATAAAGTTTGTAAATCAGGTCTAAAATAAACGACACAGTGCCTACCTCAGAATCGAGTCACCCCATTCTCTCTCCCTTTTCTTCCCTGAGGGTAAGGAACTCTGTGTCAAACTCTAGAACCCACCTACAGTTAAAACTGAGGTGGAACTTTAAAAACACCAGAACTAATTCATATGGTGTGTTGGTTGCCAGGCAAGAAGCAACACTGGAAACAGCTACTCTGCTTTCTGAGAGCAATTTAGCACTGGAGAGTAGAAGCGTCAACCACAACATTCTCAAAAGAAATAAATCAATGTTTACTGAACTAATATAATGTGATTGCTGTGTGTGAGTACATTTCAAAGACAAATCTAGGGAAGTTGGCCAGCTAGGGTCTTTGAGCTATCCCAATGAAATCAGCAGGACCTGTCTACACTTGCAGTAGATTTGCATTTGGTCCTCTACCTTGAAGTCTAGATTAAGAAATTTATGTGCTTAAAAACAAGCATGCGCCTCCTCTGAACAGCCGCAAGTTAAATCAGTGGTTCCAAACCTTTTAAAGAGTCACTCTTTTCACACCCAGCCTCATGATCAAATTCTTGTGAAAACCACTATGAAAAGATAGTTCTGTAAACCGAAGAGAGCATCCGTACCAGTGCCTTGGGAATCAGAACATGAATTATAAACAGCTGTAGACAGCTGGGCAGTTTAATATATACACAAATTTTTTTTCATGGTAATATTGATCTTCCTTACGTGCAGTATATGGTATAACCTCAGTTGCTTATCTATTTGGTGCCAGCAGAAGGAGGAATGACAGTGATGTACTGCAGCACAGACTTAGGTTTGTTGGCAAGCCCTCCACATACCCAGGGGTATGTTGCAGGGGGCAAGGGTGGAAAACAGAGTGTTAACATTCATCCTGTACGCTGCACCTGTACAGACACCTAGGCAGTCCTGGATTTACAAGTTCTGTTCTGTTTGTCTGTGCTCTTCCACAATATTCCTGACGGGAATGAAGATGCAAACTTAACGTAATTTTTTACCAGCCTACAGAGCATCCATTTCCCTCCCTGCTGAAATTAAAAATGTAATTTAATTTTTTCAGTTATTTTTTGAAGACTAACAAAAGTTCTCTCACAAAGTTGTAACTCCTTGTTTGTGGATCTGCAATAACTTCCTATGCTCTCAACGCTTCGATCTTTGTCTCTACAACCCTCCCTTCTGTGACTTCGGTAAAAGTACAAGCAGATATGTTCCTAATGGAGCTGCTCTTCCCTCATGCCAGTGTTTCAGCCAGCGACTCCAAAGTGTAAACAACTTTCCACGTATCTCTTCATGTCTGGGTTAGAGTCCTTGGCCAATGTCGGTACTGGCTTTTTGCCTGCTGCTAATGAATTACAAACCATGCTGTCACCCTTACAATGCCCATAAGTAACCACTTCCACAACATAGTACCAATATGTATCTATAAATCCACAGGCAGAGACTGTTCTTAAACTGCACAGCTGCAGTCCTCAACAGGCTACACAGGTTTAGGGATTGACATACCCAGTTCTCCCCTGAACAATGCCTCTACCTGGACACTCAAGTATTTATTTTCATGCCAGCTGATACTATTAACTTGAAATGCTTCTACAATACAGAAAAATTCACCCGTTGATATTTCTAGCTTTGAGGTGCTAACAACTATCAGTTCTCCTATTACTTTTTTTAACCAGTTGTACTGTAAATACTGTACATATTTTTCATCAAACATTTCAATTCATATAAAAATATCCTCTTGAGATGAGAAAGCACTGTCCTTTTCCCACTCCCAAAACACGGGTTTAAGAAAAAAGAAAATGGCTGGCTATTTCTACCCCGTTCTTGTCCCTGTATCCCTACTTTTCCCTTTCTTTCTCTTTCCTGAATACAGAATACGCTTAAGTGCAAATATATTATTTGCTGGAAAACTGGCTGTGGCTACGCCAGAAATCAGACTTCTGCACAGTGGTGATTCATGTGGCAGTTGTGAATATATACAAAAGATTGTCTAAACATGGACTAACAGCAAGACAGAGCTATGTGGTGTGCTAACTTCACAGCAGAAGATTGATTAGATCCATTTTGAAGCTTTTCTGCCTTCATCTACTAGGCTATAGCTGTCAGTGATCTTTCCCCTAAGCCCAGTGTTTCAAACTATATCCATCTACAGTTACCATCGTCATTCCAAATAACCAATAAAAAAAAAAAATCATTTAATAAGGCAGCATTTTACAAAATGAGGCCTAAGAAGGGTCTGCATTTACACTGCCTGGTGTAGATTGATGACACAATGAAAGGCAGGGGCTCCTTGAAAAAATTAATTGGATTAATTAATTTGCAATTAACTTGTTACAGACAATTTATACAACATAAAAACCACGTTGCCGCATAAAATTAAAACCAAGTGAAAGTAAGTTCAGATATCACAAAGAAGCAACTTAATTAGATGAGATGGGCTAGCTAAGACTTCCAGGAGATTTAGTGCTGAAGGGCTATGTACAGCGACTGCACTCAGGAGTTTTAAAAGCTGCTTACTCCGAGACATCTCTTTCTGTCCCACTCATAGAAAAATGTAAGAATAGTTATTATGAGAAACATTCATGTATCATGAAACACGTTACTTACCTGCCATGTCAATAGCAAAAGGCCTGTCAGCTCTCCAGCCCGTGTACCAGCCAACAACTTTGCCGTTTTCCACAACCGGGCGCTCGTATCGTCGTCCTCCTACCAGTCCCACAGGCCATACCGATACTTTGCGGGTTGTACGCATCTGCAAGAGGCGGACACAGCGTGACTGCGTGTACGTTGTCCTACTAGGGTTTTTTCCTAAGTGTTGGTGGAAAGCCTACACATTAATCATCAAGACTAGGTATTTAAAAGCAATTCTAGCTTACAGATCCCAGCCCAACAGAGTAAGCATTTGAAAGCTGCGTGTGCCCTCTCATATTCTGTGAAATCTCCAGCTCTCTAGCCTGTATGTATCCCAATTCTACTCATTTTTTATAACAAAAATGTTAAAAGCCGTGAAAAAAAAGCGTTTGTTTTCTTGTTTGTTTGTTTGGGTGTTCAAAGGTGTAGTAGCTCTTTCTCATCTGCAAGACCATAGCACTCTAACACTAGCCTTATTTCTCTAGACTGCTTACATATTATACAAGCCGAGCGAGAGAGACTATTATAATAATGATTAACAAATACACACTTCATTAAGACAAGTACAGCTAGTTTAAGGCTGGTAACAAACACAACTCCCTACCTGCTACATACCAGATTTGCACAATAGCTGCAGCTCAGATCTATTAAAGTCTCACAAAAAAAGGATTAAGTTTGGGCTAAACCTTTTTAACTTCTATTTTATTTTGAAAAGCTGTGCTAAGCTTCTGAGAAGGGCAGAAAGCAGGTCGGGCAGTGTGTTTCTGCTAGTCTGCCATCAGTAACAGGAGTTTTTCCCAATGGTGTATACGGAACTAAATGTAATTCTGGAAACATGGTCCTCATCTAACCTAGAAGAATTTATAGGTACTAAAAAAAATTTACTCTTTCTTTCGCAAAAAGTGTGCATGACTGGGAGTCAGTACATTCAGTCCACTGATTAGCAGACCATTTTCTTCAGCAAACAGGCGGTAACACAACATGAACCTGATGTGCTGCTCCCCGTGGGAAAACCACCGACAGTCTGGTGTGAGCGCTTGAGAAGACGAGAGCATGGACACAGCAACTTGCACAATTTGACTGCACCGATTCAAAAACCACTGTGCTTAAATATGGTCTCATTTAAGCAAGCATTAAATTATTTCAGTGTAACATGAGCTTAATTTGATCGATTTTTAAAAGTCTCTCGTCTTCTGTTGCAGTTGAGTCCTATTCCCTAGGGAAAGGTTATCCTTTCTCCTTCCAAGCTCTCCTCCTAGCAAAAACAAACACAGTTTTACATATTTGTAACTGCAGTCCCCTATCGATAGATGTTCAAGCAAAAGACAACCTTGGTTAAATATTAAATACTTCCCTCTCTTTCTGGCAAGGTGAAAGATTTATCATGCATATTATCTAGACTCCCAGGAGATGCACCAGAAAAAACAAAAGACGTCACATCACTCTGGCTCACATTTCTAAGCTAGAAACATTAGCAGATTCTTAGGAGAACTTTCACACAGGGAAGGCAGAAAATACATATTTAAAAATCCACAAATATGTATGTACACACAGAAGAGAAGTATGCACCTTCTCTCCCTCCAATTCTTTGTGTATCTTTAAATTTGTATAGCAAAATTTTCTCCCCTCCACCCTAATAACTGTTGCAGCAAGTCAGACCATCTCACTCAGTAGCAGCAGTCCATAAGAACAGGGTATGTATGCAATTGGCAATACAGGGATTTCTCATGATAAGGATTCTATCCAAACCACGGACTATTTAATCGCCAGTGAGAGACTGCAATGAATCTCTACAGGTTATTGTTAAAATGTGTTTGTAACTGTTCTCCCTGCTTAAGAGTATTTTTCCAATCTCTCCCACTCCTCCATTTAGGAAAAGCAGAGTTAGCAATCAACTACTTGGATATGGAAATCAGTCAAACCTTCTCATGAATATCCTTTAGCTCTGGTTTTAATGATACATTTATTTCACAAATTTTTCTAACAGTGTTATTTATATTAACATCCAAACACATCAGACATGGACACAGGGCATCATCCTGCTGGGCTTGTCTACATGGGTAAGTTTCCAATAGGTTTCCAAGGGCATGATCCAGCCTCATACACCCACCTATGCTACACCAGTATTAACCATGGGACGAACGCAGATGCCCGTTAACTTTTCTGTGTTACTCACAATACCTTCTGGAGTGTATGCATACCTGAACAAATTACTAGTGTACCGATTTACAGCATTTAGCTCCCCTGTGCCAACTGCCTGTACCCCTGGTAAGCACAAAACGCTGCAAGACAGGGGCAGGCACACTCCAACTACGAGAGTAGCTAATGCACAGTAAGCCCATACCCTCCTTTTCCCACAGCGAGCATCTGGGCAGCTGTACTGCAAAATGAGCCAGACCACCCGAGACTTCTGAACCGGGTCAACAGCGGACACTTACGCTAGCAGAACCAGACTGATTTATATTAATACTTTGTCATACACAACATAGAGGAAAATCTTGTCAATGAAAAGTATCTCACTGACCTCATGAAACCAGCATGAAATCACCCAAGAAGTTTTAATTATTACAGTTCTGGGTCCATCTCAGTGTCTAAGAGTTAAGTCAGTAAAGCCACCACACATCAGAAGTAACCAACCCTTTACAGAGCTCTTTATTTTGTCTTTAGGTTACTTTATGCTCAGAGGTTATATTTCTGGAGAATGAAATAAGCAGGTGTCAAGAACACAGCAAACCCTTTAAGTACAAACTGAAAGAGCACATCTAGACTGATATTTATGCTAATTCTGACACACCTTACAGCCTCAGGATAAGCTAGGCAGATGAAAGTAGGAATATTTCTCTTCATCTTCTGAGAATAGCATTACTGCATTTAACATGCTGATGTGTTAAGCCTGTATTTATGCATGATGGGGAGAAAGCTATTATTTGGATTAAAAGGCCAGCTTGCATCTGGAATTTGACGCCGCTAATCCCTGGGACACAAAAAGGTGATTCAAAAACATGTTAATTCTGAATTGGTTTATTGCTGTGGGTTAAACAACTGCCAAAATCCTATCTTACAGCTTCCTAAATGACTCTTCTACCTGTCATTTTAATGTGTGGTAGCACATGCTGTCTTAACAGTCAGCATTTTAAGTCCTAGTAGCTTATGTGAATGGTATTAATCTTACTTAACTCTGTTTAGACTTCTATAGTTAATGAACAGAGATAGGAACCTACCCAGCATGATTCATCCTGCCTGGCTTAAACAGCTGTCTTAAGGTAGGACGAATCTCCCTCTGAAATGCTTTTGTCCTCTATTTACTTTTTGATTATCTGAAAGGGGATCTTGGGCATAGGAGAAGAGCGACGTACTGGATGGGGAAGATGAGAAAAGGCCTCTAAGATGGTAGAACAAACCTGAATGAAGCGGGGGAACACAACTGGGAAGGAGTGGGCAAGGAGATGACAGGAGAGAGGGGTAAGAACTAACCAAAGATATCCAAGTGAGGTGATGGGCATATAACTGTAAATATGGTAGCAATAGAGGAACCATTGATGAATAACAAGTAAAAATGTAGAAAATGTAGCTGAGCAATAAAAGAGATATTGATAAAAGTATTGCCAAAAATAGCATCTCATTAGTCAATCAAGACAAGCTGCCTAATGGGATGCGCCGGACTGATGGGTAGGTAAGATGCCAAGCCAGTAACAAAATATAAAAGCCCTAGAGGAATGAAGGAAAATGACAGGCAGAAGGAAACATGGCCATACTTCCTATAATGAAAAGGCTTCCAGGCTGGAACAACCATCCTAGTGTTTTTGCAGCCTGATGTTGATGCGTTTCTATTCAGGATTCAAAGCTCTCAGCAAATGCAAACCTGGCTGCCACACATAGTTAAGCGGGTTTTTTTCTTCCCCTGTTCTCCATCACTTCATCCCCTCTGTAATTCATGTCTGTGCTGGTCAGGCTATGGTTATCATCCAGGCTCGCCTCCCCCATCCCCGTGAGACTCAAGCAGTTTTCTATGCAAAATTCCGATTTATTACTACCAAAGACAGGGTCGAGAGCTTCTTCACTACAACTCTTCCAGAGGGGAAAACTGTTGCGAGTTGAAGCATGAGCACAGCCAGGTTCCCTATCAGTTCCCAGACAGGCATCCTGCATTACTCAGAGGTCATTTAAAGCCAAATTCTGCTTCAACAAAACTTACATGACTGCACTACAAGTCAGAGGGACAGCTCAGCCGCAACGATACCACGTCCATTTGCTTAGGCGTTAAATAGAGCTTCTGCCCGTACTTACCATTACTTCAGAGGAGGTACTGGCTCCTGGAAAATCTGTGCCAGTTGTTTTTGTGGTTCAGGGACTGTGATGCTTAGGGGATAATAACTTCAAAAAGCAAGTTAGTTGTCAGTGAACTTGACAGTAAAGGGTATGTCTCCATGGGAAAACTTGTAGGAAGGGTCTACAAATTAAAAAAAAAAAAAAAAAAAAAGGCCAATCATTGATCTAGCCTGCTTCACAACCCTCACAGGTCATCTGATTTAGTTCTCCACCATCCTCACTATTAGAAGGCTTTTTTCCAAACATCTGCCTGAAACCTCCTCTGCTGATTCGTACCCAATCTACACCGTGGAAGTAGGATAGATTAATTCCCCCTTCTCTCAAGCAGCATTTTACATATCAGATACAATGATTAATGCTTCTAAATTATACCAGCATCACTGGGCACAAACGTCAATACTGCTTCTCTACAGGAAAAAACTGTACTAAGTTTAACTAAAGCAGTTAGGAGCTAATTTCTCTGGATTGGGAAGACTTCCAAAACATTTGCCATCCATGCTTCCTTTTAGCCCTTCTACTTACTAATTCTTTTTCTCACCCTACTTTCTGTTGTGTTCACTAGGGACCTCACAAGAGCTGCTGCCCATTCGTAATTAATTTCATAGTAACAGTATCAGTTTCACAGGTAAAAAGAAAAAGACTGCTGTCAAGGTGCAAAAACAGATGGTGCTTGGTACTGTGTAACCCAGAGTCCCTCACTTGGATAAACCTGTTTCGAGTAGCTTTTTTGTCCCTGTTTCCTCTCATTTTTAAGCTATTTCATTGTTTCTCTACCAGTCTTTTCTAATCCATCCTCTTTAGCATAGGTATTCAATGTTTATGTGCAAGAGGAATGTCAGTGTGCATTTAAAATCCGTCACATATTCT